CTTGAACGTTTAGAAACTTCAAGGGTCATGGAAAAATTAAAATTAAGGTGCTAAATAGATGTGAACTTGCACAATCTTCAATGAACTAACTGAAGGCCTTCACAGTTCAATTAAAAAGTATGAGATTTCTCTAACATCTTATTTTAAGACAGTCATACTGAATCTGCAGTTGAGATTCAAAATTGAATGATGTCTATTTCATTGAGCTTAGGGTCAGGCAGATTCATGACAAACCTTCATATATGTATAAGGACATTCTCATTTTAACAATGTTTTTAAGTAGAAAAACTCTATAAACAAACATTCTTCAAAAGGGGCATCCATATAATGAAATCTTGGAGCTCCAAAGAGATAATGAATTAGAGCTGGATGTGTAATCTGGAAAAATAACCAAGTTAAAGAAAATCAAATTATAAAACCATACATTTAAAATAACAGAGGACAGCAAGAGGCATATATATAGAAGGAAAGAAGTATATAAAATAAATGATAACATTTCTGAAAGACTATACAAAAACACAAGTAACTGTATTTCCCTGGGATGTGGGAGTAGAGTCACAGGAAGGAGACACACTTTTCCACTTTACACCCCTTTGTATATTGCACAATTTGTAAACATCATAAACATGTATACTTTGGTAACATATAAAAAACCCTTAAAGCCTTTAAAAAACCTGATTGTACCCACAGCATTCTATGAAACACTGGGTAACATTAATTCACAATCCTTTCCTGCCTTTTACTTAATGGTTATTTAGTCAAAATTAGAAGGCTTCTGGGTTGTTTGCTTTCTCTGTCCCTCAAGATTGAGGGAAAAAGGTGAGAATTCAAGTTTTAAATCTCACTGGTTAAACTGTAATTTGGATAATATCTATTTAAGATTCCAGAGAACCAATTAAGAAATTAACCAATGAACATCTGAATCACCAATTAAAATATTTTATCTAGGATCACTTTTCCTGGTTACAAAAGCCTGAATCTTTAAACTCCGTAGCCCTGTGAGTTCAACAACCATAGACTTCAAAAATATAGTTAAGTATGTTGAATTTTCCTCCATTGGCATAAAATAAGCAAAATACATAGAGGCTATCAAGTTTGAAAGGAAATACATTTTTGGCAAGAGTCTTCACCAGAAAATAGCATCATAAATTCAAAGCCTACAGAACTGACTCCAAAATCAGAACAGTTAAGAGCGGGCATAAGAGCCCTTTTATGTCTACTCAGGATTTGCCAATTCAAAGGCCTTAAGACGTTTTTGAATGTTTGAGGCTCAGAAAATTGAGAGTAGCAGGCTAGTGGCCACCTTGAGAGTACGAACACCCTTTAAACTACACAAAATTCAAGTTTTTAAAACACTGTGGTGGTCAAACAAAACACAACTGCAGAGAGAATTCAGAGTATATGCCATAAATGTGCAACCTCTACATTAGAACAATAATTGGACTTTTTAAACCAGGGTTTTCACAACACTTGGGTCTTTCCAGATTAAATACTTCAGTGCCCACTACACTTCTACAAGTAATTACTATGTTTAGTCGTTCAGTTGTGTCCAACTCTGTGACCCCATGGACTAGAGATGGCCAGGATCCTCTATCCATGGGATTCTCCAGGCAAGAATGCTGGAGTGGGCTGCCATGCCCTTCTCCAAGGGATCTTCCCAACCCAGGTCTCCCAAGTTGCGGGCAGATTGCAGATTCTGTACCGTCTGAGCCACCAGGGAAGTGTTCAAATGCTTACTGAATTGACAACACAAAGCCTCTTCAAATAATACACACAGTCACCTAGTAACCAATAAATATAATGAACTGGGTTGTGGAATTACCCATCAGTGCCCTGCTGGAGCTGGCCTGCAAAGTGAGACTGGTGTGTCTAACTCCAAGTTTAATTCAATTAACATCAGACTGGTAGCTGAAATCAGCCATGGTGAGAGTATTAATATCACATATATCAGTAAACACTACAGAAAGTGAAAGTGAAAGTGAAGTCGCTCAGTCATGTCCAACTCTTTGCAACCCCATGGACTGTAGCCCACCAGGCTCCTCTGTCCCTGGGATTCTCCAGGCAAGAATACTGGAGTGGGTTGCCATTTCCTTCTCCAGGGAATCTTCCAAGAACAGGACACTTTTTCACGAGAGAAAAGCATTCACCAGCACAATATATGACAGCACATCTTGGTCGTATATTCATTTGTTCAAATATACCACATAAAATTTTTAATGAATGACATGTTTTAAAATATACAAGGAAAAAGTTAACTAATGAATATAAACTGAATACAATAAGCTTATTTATAACACATTTTAGTAACAGTACCCTTTCAAAAGTAATTTTACTACTGTCTAGGGCAGAGACTTAATAGTTGGAATGTTTCACAAAATAGGAGTTATTGTGATACTTCAAATGTCTCTTTAGTTTAAAACCTGACCCACTATTTACCCCCATGAATTTACTTGTAAAGTTTAAATAAAACCCTAGAGAATAAACTACTGATTTCAGCAAATTATGAATGGAATCGAAATTAAAAATGATTTTTATTAGGTATATAGGATATAGAAAGAGATTCTCTTAGAATTTCATATGATTTTTAAAAAATCTGCTTACACATATATGTGAGAGCATCTTAATCCAACAATAAAATACTTGCTTCCCAGAGCAAAAGCCCTGTCATTAGCCTAATGCCTTGCTTCTTTCATCCTTAAAGTATGAGCCCACTTTAAGGACCATATGAGATTTTTCATACATTAAAAGCATTTAGCAAGTTTCTGAAACACTAAAAGAGTTTAATAAACCACACTCTGTAATACCATCACCATTATTACTTTCAAGTCACATATTTAAAGAAATATATCTTTATAAGGTCCCGGAGAGATTAACTTTCTGATATAAATCTGAGACTGCAAGTGGAGGCCAAAGATAAGGTCAGTCATTCTGTATGTGAGTCTGGAGCAGGAGCACAAACATATGAACAAAGAGGCCCAAGAAGCAAGGCACAGGCCAGCCTGAGGACAGCAGCATGTCTTACTGTATGCCAACAGCAGCAGCAAGAGGTGACTGACTATGTATCATAAACTACCTTTTACAAAGTCACTGTGTCTTCAAAAGAATTTAAAAACATTCTGTTGAAATGAGAAACAACAAGTGTTTTTTTCCTAAAAATGGACAAGATATAAAAAAGCCACTGGGGGAAAAACCCAGAGCAAATTTCCTTCTTAAGAAGTAAACACATTCCTTTAACTGTAGCCGACATCCTGGAAGGTAATGATTTTTGTTAGAGAAATCCTATTTTCATTCCCCCAATATATATATATATATATATATATATACACACACACATACATACACAAAGTTAAAATTCTTTGTTAACTATAAACACAGGAGAGATAAGAAACTATTCTTCATTTTTGAATGTTCTTTAGCAAGGTGTAATTTTAATAGCTATCTGACAATCTCCCAAAAGAATACCACAATTTCAAAGTGGTCAGAAGAGTAAATAATTCCAAAATAAGTATTAATATTCAAGAGCCAGAACTTGGAATATTCCTTTTAAAAATGAGATATTCACCAATTTCATCATTACTGAAATACATTCAAATAAAAATCAAAGGAAGAAAATCCAGAAAACAACATTTAAAAAGTTTGCCATTTCAAATGAAATTTAAATTTTTCCCAACAAGCCAACAAAAACACTGAGAAGTTCAGGGAACAGTGTATCTACCCTACAACTAAACATCATTATCACAGAAAATACAGATTTAAAGTGTTGTGCAGCGGTTCTCAAACCACTGTAGCCTGAGAAACCCCAAGGGTTCCCCTAAAACCCAAAGTCAAAACTATTTTCAGCATACTAAAATGCTGTCTGTTTCACTCGTGGTTTCACAAGTGCGCGGTAGAGTTTTCCAGTGCCTAAACACCATGTCACTTAAAAGAACTGCAATGTGAAAGTAGTATGAGAATCTCACTGCTTCTATTGGGCCAGGTTTTTAAAGAGATGTGCAAAATGTAAAACAACGGTCTTCTGTTTGTGGAAAACAGTTATTTGCCATCAAAAATGGTATTTATGTGAATGTATAATGAGTTTATTATTGTTACATTTATATGAATAAATATGCTTTAAAAATATCTCAGTACTAATTTCTAATACAGCAAATACTGAGCAATACAAGCTATAAAAACAAAAGCTTTTTGGAGATCTTCAATAACTTAAAAGAGTTAATAGTCCTGAGGCCAAAACGTTTGGAAAGCAGCCAGTTAGTTATTCTCTTCATTTTACCCATTTATAGGAACTATACCAATGAGGATATATGTTGGGAGCTGGGGCAACTCAGAAGTAAAGCAAGCACTGATATGCTTCTTCAAATTTACAGAAAGAATTATTCTGCGGAAGCAAGTGATCTACCTGATCTCTACCTTCACAAAAATAAGAGTAAAATATACCTTTAAACTAATAATAAAGTTTGTCACCCTAAAAGAAAATTTTCTTTCCTGAGCAAACACAAAAGGAGAGAAGATGACTCAACCAGTAAGTCAGGAAAAACTGTGTCTTCACGTTGCTAACCACTGAGTATTTTCTCCTCTTCACTGTTCAACACAGTTCTGATAGTCCATATAAAATCAGAAGCAAATCAGAACATGAAAGTCTGAGGATTCAAATCCACATTAAAGTTGGATCACTTCTTACACTAAGCATTTTGATTTTATAGCATTCAAAGTCAACAAGTTTCCACTTAATTACAAACCTCAAGGTTTACCCAGAAAAAAATGGTCTTTAAAATTATTTTAATAACAATTGTTTAATTTACTTATTTCTTAGATGGAAAGCCTGGTAGGTTAACTGGGTAATGGCCTTCAATGGCATAGCTTGATGAAAGAGTTGATTGAGACCCAATACAATCTAAAACATAGGAATTCAAAGACATCTCTTAAGTATTCCCTCCATGAGGGGGCTGGAAGGTGACTCCAAAAATTTGAAGAGATTTCAAGTATACACCAACACACACCCAGACCTTTGCAGCATTCATTTAATTCCAAGAGAAGAGGCGTACTGCTCAGAAAAGGGGCAGAGACTTCCCAGTCTGATCAAAGTAGTTCAGACAACTATACATTCAGCCAGATATGCACTGGACAGCAATGCTTCAAGAAGTTTAAAACTCAACACAGATTTTACTATACTATGAAAACAACTCCTGTAGTCACCATTTGAAAAGGTATTCAGCATGAATAATGTTTGAGGAAATTGATGTTCACCTCTTTTAATACCAAAGCTTTAAAAACAATTTTAAGTATTGTAAGAAAACTTTTCAAATACGTATTACATATTTACATATGCAATTTCACCTTTTCTTGATGACACAGAGTCACAGTAATAGGCAATTTTCAGAAGATGGTGTATACAGTGATGCCCTCTAAACTGGGCTGGCTGTCCCTACACTAACTAGTCTTAGACAGTGTATGCTTGTCATACAATCTATCTCCTTCGTTTCAAGCCATAAGTTCTGAACTGTTAATATGCCATGGTCTGGGAAATCTAATAAGTCAAAATTTCACATAAAAACATAGCTCTAACGTATGGACTCTGTGACTTCTGTGGGCTGCTCAGAGGCATTAAAAAAAAAAAACTATTACAAGTTTTTCAGTTGTGTTCTGTTTTGATGAGATTGCCAGATTCTCACTGGATGAATGAGGCATTATATAAATATTTAATCAAGTTCACTTGAATATTAACATAAAGATATAGCTAAACATTAGTATCACTGCCTTTTTAAACAAAGTATTCTATAACTTTAAGGTAACACTGGGTTCCAGTTTCTTTCCACTAGAAATGAACATAAACAAATGTCCTATTAATATCAGTTTGTCCAAAGAAAAAAAACTGAGGTGCAATCATGTCACAGTTAATGCATGTCTGCTTCCAATACATTCAAAGACAATATTAAAAAAAAAAAAAATCAATAGTTAAAATAAGCCTTTTTGCAGTCTGAGAATTCAAGATACTTAAAAAAATTTGTAAATACACATACATGCAAATTCTTTATATATACAAATTTTCACAAAATTAAGAAGTTGCAAAGAAATTAGAAGAATTACAGTGAATCTAACAAGCTACATTAAATGCTTTACCACTGACATATTCCTAAACATAGCAGTCATAGTAGTTTTAATAAATTTTCTACATGGCCTTTTTATAAAATTTGCTTTCAGACATAAAAGTTAGTCACTAGAAGTCTTCTGAAACTCTAATTTAAGAATTCAAGATGTTCTCAATTCACTACTGATATTTAAGGCCACTTTGGTAAAGGCATTGCAGCAAGAACACAAACAATAGCATATTTTCTAGTATTTATTTTTTTTCACCTGCAAACTGTTGCAAAACATGATCAGCTTTATTATGCAGACAGGTATCCCTCTACATTTTTTAAAGAATTTAGGCATGTATAAACAGAAGAGCTCTTCAGAAAGGAAAAATTCAAGAATGACTAAAACCTTCCAATTTTGACTTTGTAACTTTCCAGTAGCAATGGTTAAAGTGATTTTAGGTCATTCATTCCCAGATATAAGACAGCACCTTAAAAGTGGCTGATCTATTTCCCCAGTAACATTTCTCACATAACAATGTGTTAAAGTTACAAATACTGATATGCACAAATAGCTAATTTCTAAGAAAAATATGTACAGTACTGCAGCATAATGAATGTGGTATCTGCAATAACTTAATATTAGCCAATTTTTAATATACATGATACCGCTACTTTTTTTTTTTTTTTGCCAATTCACAGGTTAAAAGTTGTTACTGGAGCCCTCTGTTTTGCACATATTACCTGGTGTTTAATACACAATGCAGGCTTTTTAAAGACTTCTCTTGTGTTTAAAGCTAAGATCAGTGAAACAAGACAACAGTGCAAGAGGCGGAGAGATGTAATGTGACCATGTAAAAGTTCGTTCCAGTAAAGTGTCTATATAAGGCTATAAGAAAGGATTGGTTGATGAGCTTCCTGTTGGAAATTGTCCTGTTGGTGCACCAGTCTAAAGGAAAACATAAGACAAAATAAATAGACAGACAAGAGTGTGTGGGAAAATAAGAAAATAATAATATTTTTAAGTTAACAGTATTTAGATTAAGTATTATTAAGTGAAGTCGCTCAGTCATGTCTGACTCTTTGCAAACCCATGGACTTCTACCCTACCAGGCTTCTCGGTCTATGGGATTTTCCAGGCAAGAGTACTGGAGTGGGTTGCATTTCCTTCTCCAATTTAGATTAGGGTTTTATAATTACTGGCAACCATATTTATTCATACCTATTATTAAGGCAGGAGAAGAAGGCAACAAAGGATGGGATGGTTGCATGGCATCACCGACTCAATGGACAGGAGTTTGAGCAAACTCCGAGAGACCATGAAGGTCAGGAAGCTGGACATGCTTCATTCTGTGGGGTCATAAAGAGTTGGAACATGACTTAGTGACTGAACAACAATTACTATTATTAGCAACATTAACACAGCTATAGGTTACCAGGCACTGTGTTGTGTCTTTTATATCCATTACTTAATTCTGTTAACAGATTCCAAGAAGGGATTGGTCCTAAAAAAATACATTTACAACCCAAACCAAATCTGACTCCAAGATTCCTTTTTCACCGTGGTACTAAATCAGCAGCCTCTCATAAAGCAGAATTTTGATAAGAAAGCATACAGGTTTCATGTGTATAACAGTTTACTGTCAATGTTTCCAGCTAATTAATGTGTTTTCTTAATTCAACAAAGGAGTGTGCACAATGGCTGCCTCGATTTGTACAATCTTGCATCTGGGAGGAATCACATCCTGCTTTTCTCACTCTGAAAACAAAAACAATGCAATGACTTACAAAGTGCTTAAAAACTGCATCTCACTTACCATAAAAGGATTACTAGACACTCCAGCAGCTGCAACTTGACCAAAAGGGGTTACCACTGGCTTTGTTTGTCCAAATGCTGCAAAACCTGCACCTTGTTTAAAAAAAAAAAAAAAAAACCAACAATTATAACCTATACCTTTGAGAGACAATCAAGGAGTTTCAGAAAAATCCCCATCAGAGCAACAATAATTAAAAAAATCAATGTTAACTTGTTGAGTCTCATGTTCTTCAAAGTAAGTTAAAAGTTTCAGTGGCATGTCTTAAAGAGCTTACTTCGACTCCCCAGAAGTGGTTAATTCCAGTCTGTCCCAGCTATGTAAATTGCTGACAAAGGATTTAATCAAAAGATGAATCTGTACTACTTAAGAGGGGCTGTGATCCAGGGATTTCAAACTTCAGCAAATTAATAGCCAAAAAGCAAACAAAAAAATCCACCCAAAACAAACAAAAAAAACAACAAAAACAGAAACAAAAACTGAAAACTTATTCTGGTGAATCTTCCTGAAAACAAGTAACAAACTTGAACTACAACGCAGTTACCTTTAATCTATGTCATCACCACCACCAACAAACAACACAATATATACAATAAATGGAAGAAAATTAACAGTTCTCCAATGCAAAGCAAACACTCTAGGTCTATAAAGTTTTCTTTTAAAAGCAAGAAGCATACTATAACACAGAACATACAAGAAAGATACTGGAGATCCTGAGAAAGAAGAGGTACTCTTTAGCCTCAGATTACTCCCAAATCTGTAATCTGGTCGCAAAAACTTACTAAATCACTCAATTTTCTGTGGCCTAACTCACCAAAGGTGTGAATATCTGTGTAATAAACACTCAGTAGATAACACTAGAGCATTCTTTAGATAAATCGTTTTGTCCAAACATTCAAGTTATGATAAATAAAGGATACCTGCGATGAACTTGGCACCAGCCAAATGTTAGCTCTTACCATTGGGCTGTTGAGAAAAAGCTGTCTGTTGAGGAAAAGCTGCTTGGGCTGGGAAGGCTGGCTGCTGGAAGCTGCCGCTAAAGCTGGTGGGAAGACTATAGGGAGCGGGAGTCCCGAAGCCAGCAGGCATGCTCATGGATGCAGTGCCAAAGGTTGCCGCTGGTGGGAGAAGGAAAGGCTGATCACTTACAAACGAAAAGGGAGGTTGTCTATACTCACACTCAGCAATGTAAAATAGACATCATTTACCTTAAAAATAGAAAGATGTATTTTAAATCCCAAAACTCCAACAAACTTAATAGCAAGTTTTAGTGCCATATTTTAATGTAAGCTAAAAGCTATCATTTGAAATCATAAGTAAACCTCTCCAAGTAATTATATGAATTTGAGTCTAAATAGCAGTCCATCATCAAGCAATTCACATGTATACTAGTATATACATTTTTAAGTTTTGCTTTGTTATACACAGTAAAATAGTCAAACATTTAATAATATCTAGTGAACTGTCTGCTATAATGTAGTATATGTATTCCTGGAAAAACCTCTGCAAAATAGTCCACTTAAAAATAAAACTTACAGGAGAAATAGGGTCTGCAAGCAGGCCACCCAAAACCTATGCAGCTTTGTAACCATAGTCAAAAAATGGATGGGGGAATAATCCTAATAAAAGCATTAACACAATTACACTACATGAACTCCCATTCTTTTTTTTGAAAAGTATAAATAAATGAAGATTTCTCTGCATAAGAGGTATAAGGAAGATAATATTAGGACCAATGAGTTATAGAAACTGGGGCAAAGTACACAAAAACTGAACAGAAAGTGAAATAGGCATTCTTAAAAGAGGCAAAGAATGTAGGGATTAATGACACTGTACCCAATAACTACCATGGCCTGCCATATCTAGTCACCAAAACGTCATGGAATGAAGCATTCATTCACAGGTTGGGGAAATCTGTGTGTGAACTACAGCTATATATATATATATATATATATATGTATATGTATATATATATACACACACACACATATGGTATGCTGCCATCACCCCCCACTTACAAATGACTTATGAATTCATATTATATTATTATACTACTCATATAAAAACACACATAGTAGCAGAACGATATATTACTTTTTGCTAATGATTCAAAACAGAACCTTTCAACTACATGTTCTAGGAAAGAAGAGCCAACAATGTTGCTTTTACTACAGAACACTGGCAATTACACAGTGAAGCATTTTCAGCATTATGTTATCAAACAACATAATTCATTGCGTTTTCTGATTCTAAGAAAAAAAATTACCAACTTGAATGCTGACTTAAGGCACTGAAATTAATGCTAAACATGCTATCTAGAATTATCTTTTATTAAAAAATTAAAAATCTGTTATGGATGTTGCTCAAAAGTAATTATCATAATCCTAATATTTGTAACAGTGCAATTCTCCACAGTGAACCTAATTAGATCGTAAAATTTTAAGCATTACTTTTTATTATTCATAAGAAAAAGGAAACTAAGCCACTGGGAAGCAAGTGAATTAAAGAATAATAAGCACACTGCAAGGGAAACAGAAGGGTTTCAGAACAAGACAACAATACAATGAGGTAACTTTGACAGATCACTTTTTAAGAAAGCAGTATAAAGCAAAAGTTGGCTACAGTTAAGCAAAGCCAAACTCCATGGAATAATGTGGTAAAATGGTTTGGTACATAGAAAAGGTGTGTCACTCAAAGTACTATGAATTCAAACTTAAGAAAAATAATCAAAAGAGCTATTAACATTCTAATGTGACCATGGAGGTAAGCAATATGCTTTTCAATATTAAAACATAAATTACCACAGAAGATTTTCATGTAACTTTAAAATATAAGTTATTCCCAATGCCACACATCCATGCCCACTCCATTTTAAAACATGGAAAAAACTTAACTTCACATGCAGGGATCCAGAACACTAGCAAAAGCTTCCACAAGCAGGTAGACAAATTGCCACACAAACCTAGGTATTAGCTGTGGCCACCTACCAAAATGAGCGTGAGGAAACACTTGAGAATGCATTGCTCCAGAAAGGCCTTATGGAAAGCCATAAAGAGACCAGTGTCAATTAAATTATGAGTAACTATTGTCAAAATAAATTTGTTTCATTAAAAAATTCTAAAATTGGAATACACTTGTTACAAAGGAGATAACATAAGAATACATAATAAAAGCGCACCCACAGAGTCCTTACTTCAACTATATTCATGATACTAGTATTTACACTATTTGAAACAAAGAGATTAGAATAATATCAGAAAAACAAATATCAAACAAACATTTATGAAATCCAGCTTTTAAATAAACACTAACATTTTTTTTCACGTGAAGATGCAACAATATACATAAAATGATTTTCTAGGCCTCACCAGTTACACCCAAAAATGCTATTCATAGAATCAACTAAAATGATCTAGCATCTACCTCTTAGCATTTAAAAGTCAAATCTCAGAGAAAGCACCTGAATAATGTGTTTTATTTTCAACTCCATACCTTAACTAGAAAATAGTAAAGATAACTCAAATGAACAAATTACTCAGGGAATATTAGTCAGTGGACTCCATTAAAAAGGTGAGCAGCACTTTCAGTTTAAAATATGATGGCTAAAAAGAGAGAGAAAAGAGAAATTCATCCCATGCAGATCTTAACCTGCATGACTGAGGTCAGACAGGTTAAATGTAAAGAAAAGTACCCAACAGAAATCAAATTTAGGTTAAGTACTAGAACCACTGTTTAAACTATCTGGAGTGGGACTGTTTCTAAAAATACATGTCCATGCATTTTAAAGAAGCATACTTAACTAACTAAATCTGGGGGAAAACAACTGAGATATGAAAGTCATTTTGAGTCTTGGTTCTGTTGTTTTCTAATTACAGGACACCACAACTTCTTTAAGCCTGTTTCCTCATTTGCAAACAAGGGATGGAGAGGCAGATACAGTATACCTAATTTACAAAGCGGCTGTGATTAAAAGTACTACAGAGTAAATATTCAATGAATCTGTTATTATTTCTTGCTAACTTAAAAGATGCTGTTTATAGGTTGTTATAAATTCAACAAAAGGTTGACTGAGGTGGAAGGGTTCTATGATAAACAAGCTTGGTCACTTTATGTTTATACCCATTCTTAGAGCATGTTACAAGCTCTGAGAAATCATGCATTAATAATACTGGTTCAATTTTGTGTTACTAACTCAGCACTTCCCATATGCTTTTGGGCACAGAACCCCTTCCCACGAAGCATTGTGATAATATCACCTCAGGAGACATGTTCTACATAATACACTTTGGTGAACCTGACTTTTAGTCAACACTGATTGTTAACTGGTATTAATTGCAATACTCAATCTGTAACACTGATGCCTAGTCCTGGGCTGCTATCAAAATATTTTAGACTTGTTTTTAACAAGCTTTTTGATGTATAATTCATATATCATACAATTTGTCAACTTAAAGGGTAAAAATTCAGTGTTTTGTCCTTTTTTAAAAACACATTCACCAGGTGTACAACCATCACCACAATTTAATTTTAGAACATTTTCGCACCCCCCCCCACTAAAAGAAATTCCACACCTATCAGCTTTCCATTTTGCCCCATCTCCTTTCTGTCTCTATAGGTTTGTCCATTCTGGACAGGTTATAAATAGAATCACACATTATATGACATTTTGTGACCAGCATCCTTTATTTTCCCTGCTGTTTTCTAGGTTCATCTGCACTGTACCATGTATCAGTACATCAAAAAAAACTCCACTGTACAGCTATACACATTTGCTTTATCTATTCATCAGTGGATGGGCACCTGGGATGTTTCCGTGTTCAGTTGTGTCCGACTCTTGAGACCCCAAGAACTGGAGCCTGCTAGGCTTCTCTGTCCATGGGATTTCCCAGACAAGAATATTGGAGTGGGTTGCCATTTCCAATTCCAGGGGATCTTCCTGACCCAGGGATCAAATCCTCGTCCCCTGCACCGCAGGCGGATAACCACTGAGCCACCTCAGATGAGCCAAGACTGTTTCCACTTTTGACTAGTAGGAATAACGCTGCTGTAAATATTTGTATACAAGTTCTTGTAAGGATATATATTTCATTTACTTTCCTATAAGTGAAATGAGTGGAACCGGTGGAAATAGTGCTGCTCTTTGGGACTAATACTAGTCATTGGTTAATCAGGCAAATCCATCTAATTGATCTCCACCTAAGTAATAAAATGACGATGCTTGGCTAGATGCTACCATGATTCTTTTGGTTCTACATTTCTACACGTTTCTTTCTTTGGGGGGAGGGACTTCTAAAAGCATTCATTTATCCAGTCAATGAATATCAGAAAGTAAAGGGTATCACTCAGGGCAAAGCAGAGACTTAAGAGAAATGTCCTAGTAACTGAAAACTATAAAACTACATTAACTTTATGAATTAAAGGGTTCAAGGACTCTATTCTAAACAGAATGCTAAATACTATAGAATCCTAAAAAAAAAGGTCTTAGGCCACACTGGCAAATTTTTTGAAGGTTTCTATGTAACGTGGTAAAAGAAGGCCCCAAAGCTATTAAACACAGGAAAAAAATTATTATTAAAATGTGCAATTTAAGAATGAAATGTATCAGCAAATCTTTCTAAATAGTTTGCAGAGAACTATTATTCAATACCTCTTTAAAAAGCTACCTCAAATGGAATTTAACAATGCTAATATATTTGAGAACAACAACAAAACCTATTTCCTAAAGAATACTAAGTTTGATGATATAAAACACTGGAAGTACTTAAGCATAGTGTATTTGTCAAAGTGTTGTTTATATTTCAGCTTTAACAGAAACATATTACATAGGTAACATTTACTTTGACTTAGTCAATTCAATAAGATGATCAATGTGATAAATCAAAATGGTTTACAACAGAAAAGATATTTTACCTTGAAATAAAACTTTGTGGACATAATAGATTCACCTTTCAATAAATTTTGCCTAGACTAATATTAAAACTACTTCATATCATTTTGTAATTAGCCTCCAACTAATAAAAATAAATGGGAAGAAAAACTATTTCATATTATCTGAACAAGCTTTTTTAGATATAATTTTTACACTTTACTTTGTACACTTTACATTATTTCACGTCTTATTAGAACCTTAACTTAAAGGACTTTTGTACTCTAAATAACAGCGGGGGTGGGGAGTGATAACCCTTAACTCTAATAACAGAACGAGTCTGGAGGTACAATCACAAAAGAAAAATAACAGGAATGATTTACCAAGTATATGGGCTTCCCAAGTAGCACTAGTTGTAAAGACCTTGCCTGCCAATGCAAGAGATGTAAGAAACACAGCTTCAATTCCTGGGTTGGGAAGATCCCTTGGAAGAGGCCATGACAACTACAGTATTCTTCCCTGGAGAATTCCATTGACAGAGGAGCCTGGCAGGCCAGTCCATAGGGTCAAAAAGAGTCAGACACAACTGACTGACTAAACACACACACACACACACACACACACACACACACACACACACACACCAACGATATACAATAATGCAAAAACAATGCAAAGTGATCTGCATCATCTAATTCTCACAATATCCCTGACAGAAGTTCACATTCTACAGAAAAAGACAATCAAGTTCAGAGGAGTTAGATCAACATGACCGTGGTCAAGGTATAAAATGTTTCCATCCTTCAGTTGTCAAATGGGGTTATAAAAAAAGCTACAGACATGTCAACAGTTATTATTATTACTGCAAATAATGTATTTTCCTATCACTTTTCCTTCATTCATTAAAAAAATAATATACAGAAAGCATTTTTAGGATTACCTAGTAAGTAAATATTAAACCAGGATTTGAACAGAAATCTGGCTGTATCCAAAACATACGCACTTAACTTCCCTGAGCCTCAGTCATCTCAGCTGTCAAAGAGTGATTAAAACATCTGATGAAGAGTTAAGAGGACTAAATGAGACAATGTACAAAATCCCATGTCATGAGACATTTTAAAAATTCATTCCATGAAGTCAAAATAATATGCTCAGAAACAGAAATACTATATACATCATCAGTAATGAATAGTATATTTTTTCCAAAACACAACAGCAATCTGAAATAATCACTGATTATGTTTAAGCATACTGTATTTATATGTATTTGAATGAAAATAAATCATTAATTATGTACAAAATTCAAATACTTATATAACATGTATTCCATGAGAAAGCAACAGATTATGAATGAAGACATTATATGAAAATGGAAGTTATGGTTCAAACTTCCAATATTACAGTTCTCAACCTTGCCAATGACAAAAAGATGTGCTAGTAATTAGTAATTCTTAATGGTGCAATTTATATTGTGATGTTATAAGCACCTTACTCTCTCAAAATATCACATCAACATATGCTATAAGTCAAGTTTAAGGCTTAGTTCTAAAGTTGTCTAAATCTAAAACCCGACAAATTCAGCTTAATGGTCACTGGGTCATACTACATGCACCTGCTAACACTCCAAGGTACTGGCAAATAACTCTGGTGTTCAGGGTAATAAGACAAAAATCAAAGAGGCAAAATCTAAGAAATATGTAGCTAGCTTACAATATGAATCAAAAAGAAAAAAGAGGGGGAGGAGTAAAGAGGATTTTTTTTTTAATTATAAAAAGAAAATATTCAAATTATTATATCCCAAATTAAACCAGTTTCAACAACCCTCTCAAAAATGCTAACAACCCTAAAAGACATAAGCACTGGATAAAGACCTCATTATCAACATCTCATGTATCAGTAATAAAATCCATCCAGTCCTTGCAATCCCAAGCAAAGGAAAAAAAAACTGACACATTTTTTCAATTGAGTTATAATCAATAATTGTGAAATCTGATCAACAAATAAGTCAGAATTATAATGTTCAAGAACTATCTCTGTCAAGAACCGGCCATGTGGAGTTAAGGCTTTAACTCTCATTTCTATGCTTGATTCCACACCTAAAAAGCGAAAGCTTTCAGTGGTGGGTGCTAGGTAACTTCCATGGTCCATTTTCAACTATTAGGGTCTAGGATTCTATACACTTTCAGCTAGCATATGTTCTCATGGACGAAACTAATCCACTTCACAGTCACTTCAGTGAGAAAGGAACCTTATTTTCTAATGTTCTTCACATAGTGTCTTTGCAGTATATACCTTTCCCAAAGTTTACTGTTCTGTAATTTACATTTCTTACCTGTCGCTCCTCTGGCATTGGTCTGAAATGGATTTGTAGAAGATGCCACAGAAGGACCAGCAGCAGCAACAAATGGATTTGTGGAAGGTGTAGCTTTAAAAAATTACAAGATACACTATAAAATCCTAATGCATTTGTATTCAATTATTTAAAGTATTTGTTCATATATTTATGAAGACAGAAAATTAGAGCTTTCTGATAATAAACTGGTGCTTTGATCATCTTCTGGTATCCCTAAGAAAATGCAATACTATATATATATGTATGTTTGGACTCCATATAAAAGCTAATATATACCAGAAACACATACCTCCAAATGGAGCAGGCACACTTGAAGATGCAGGCTGTGTCTGTGCAGAAGCACCCACTGGTACTGTTCCAAAAACATTACTGAAAACAAGTATTGAAAGAATTCATATTTTGAGAGGGGAAAAGAGCAAAGGTAATCTAACAACAGGGTTGCCATAAAATATGGAAACAAATAATATTGAACATATCATGTATCACATCAGCTCTCAAACTTTTAAGTCTTAGAATTCATTTACATTCTTAAAAAATGAGAACCCCGAAGTTTCAAGATGCTATATCTACCAATAGATAGTACATCAACTAAATCAGAAACTTAATCTGAAAATAACAATAAAGCCCTTCATATCTGATACTTTCACAAATCTCTTTAATGGCTGGCTTAATAGATGATCAATCTGTTGTAATATGTTGTTTAGCTTGGTGCATATGACAAAAAACTGGCCTCACATGGCATCACAGTTGAACGAAACAGGAGAATTTTAACACCTTTTCCAGATAACTATGTATATCTTGCTTGATATCATTCCAAAAACAACAGTTATAGTTTCCTAAAGGTTAGCCGCAATATGGTCCAACTCTCATATCTGTACAAGAGGAGCAGGGAAGGACAGAGGATGAGATGGTTGGATAGCATCATCAACTCAATGGACATGAGTTTGAGCAAACTCCTGGAGACGGTGAAGGACAGGGAAGCCTGGCATGCTGCAGTTCATGTGGTTTTCAAGTTGGACACAACTTCGCGACTCAACAACAGCTGTGATATGGAATCTGAAACTGTATCAATGAACTCTGATGCACTCTCTTAAAGTAATATCCAGTAGTCTATCTTACACTTTAAATGAATCTTTTATTACTTTTGTATCATTTGGAAAATACTTGATGCCAATCTTCAAAATGTCAACATATTTCCTTACACAAAATAAAAAAACAACCATTAATATCACCATCCATCTCATCAGAAAAGCAACAGGAAGCTTAATTTTAAGCTCATGGTGGCTAATAAATTTTCCAAAATTCTACTTAGTTGCTTGAGAGTGTGTATTTTAGCCATTATTTTCCCTAAAGTGACAGACTTAAAATTTCATTTTTGAGAAAATATCTAACAAATATCCAAATCTGAATAACCATGGTTTGTGTAGCAATCATACTTTCAAGAAAAAATGGTGCTCCATAAAACAAGTAGCTGGTTCATTCCACAACTCAAAAAACCACACAAGTTGATTTTCCTCAAGATAGCTTTATACTTCAGTATATGGCAGAACTACCTGATGCATACCATACTTCAATACACAGAAAATTAGGACATATTTAAGGGTCTAGACTTAATAAAATTAAATTCCTTTACACTGCTTCATCAAGCATATTCATAATAAAAACTGAATCAAAAATATTCCTAAATAAAACTGAATGTGTGGTAGCAAGGAATGACTCTTAGATGACTGCCTGTACGGCCTAGCACTGGAGCCATCCAATGAGAAGTCACCACCAAGTTTTACCTATTAAGAGTTTCTATACCATCAATACAAATGTCAACTAATGAAAACACAAACGACCACTCAGAATTATTATGAATTTAGTTTTAACCTGACAGACCTTTCAAATGGGTCTCAGGTACTTCAAATATTCCATGTATTATACTCTGGGGACCACTTATGATTATAATGTAATACCAATGAACCATTGATTACATATACCTGTCTGTGTTTCCAGACTTTATGACCACCTTGCTATAGTTCACTATTTTATATGTCTAATGTAGACAATATTAGTAAAGCAAAAATACAGAAATACTCTGAGCATTATTCTTTGGATTCAATTTTTCCCATCTGCCATACAGAAAATTTGTTACTGGAGAATGAGCCCAACTAACTAGTGTTGCAATCCTATCATTTCTTTCTGGAAAAGGTGCGAAAAGGAAATAAAAAGTTACTCAGATAAAAGAGACAATCTATAAGAATGAAAAATCAAGGATAATACACTGTACAGGTAAGTCACCTATACTTCTGGGTCTGCTTCCTTGACCCAAAAAGAAGTCAAAAAACTAGAAGAGTTTTTAAAGATCAAATGTTTTTAAAATGTGGTAGACTCTCTTCTGCCAAGAATTCCTTACACCAGACATATACAAACACTGTAACAGATACATCTATTTATAAATACCAGTAGAGAGAAAAGATATAGGATTAATCTTGGGTTCTGGTGCAAATCTTTCTAAAACTTTACTTACAACTCAGGCTACAACATGTTACTTTAGTGTTTAATCTTCATGACTAAGAATTGTACCTTAAAAGTAAGTAATTCTGTAAATGGATTCTCTGAGTATAATTAAATTTGTATTTAACAATTTAACACATCCATTTCAAGATGTGTATATACTCTAAATTACATTTCAGCATTCAAGGGGAAAAAGTACTTTTGATTAAATAAGAAGTATAAAACTATGGTAAATCACCTATGGTAATTACTCAAGGAGCATATTTTAATTAGAAAATGTAAACTCATAACTTTCTTCAAACTTAGGAAAATATTCAAGAATCTTTTAAATTAAGCCCCAAATAGCGACTACTTAACAACACTATTATTCAGAGTTCTTCAAGCACAGAACACGAGCCAGCGACCAGCTACCTGCCAGCGTTACTTGTGGACGTGTAGGCCTGGCTGGAGGTGGCCGCGCAGCTGAAGACACTGTCCAGCTCCGCCAGGGCCGCGTACTTGTCTGAGGACGCACTTGACTGACTGGGGACCGCAACCACAGAGCCAACAGGAGCTCTCCCTGCGGTCCCAAACCCACTGCCCTGATCGCCACCTACAAACAAACAGAAACAAGTCAGACCAAGGACTTGACCTGACGCTTAACTTACCCTTTCAACTCACCCACCACATCTGCCATGACGTGTGAATTTAAAACTGATTTGGAGCTTAGCAAATAAATGGACATGACTCTAGAGTCTTACCTAATAAATAAATACTCCAGAAAATACTGGACATGTTTAGTGCTATACATTCCACTCTGATAAAAATAAAATACTGTTTCTGAAATAAAAACTAAGACCCGGTACCAACGAAATGTCTAGGTTACATATAAGAAGGAAATTTTCAGAGTGCTACATTAAATCTGCAATACGGGGACAACTCAATCAAGCGCACATATACACTCATCTAATGCTGAAAAAATTTATGCTTTTGAACTGTGGTGTCGGAGAAGACTCTTGAGAGTCCCTTGGACTACAAGGAGATCCAACCAGTCCATCCTAAAGGAGATCAGTCCTGGGTGTTCACTGAAGGACTGACGCTGAAACTGAAACTCCAATACTTTGGCCACCTCATGCAAAGAGTTGACTCATTGGAAAAGACCCTGATGCTGGGAGGGATTGGGGGCAGGAGAAGGGGACGACAGTGGATGAGATGGCTGGATGGCATTACCGACTCGATGGGCATGAGTTTGAGTAAACTCCGGGAATTGGTGATGGACAGGGAGGCCTGGCGTGCTGCGATTCATGGGGTCGCAAAGAGTCAGACACAACTGAGCAACTGAACTGAACTGAACTGAATGCTGGACCTATGTGAACTCAATCTATTAATAATATCTTCCCAGGGTTGTTTACGAAAAAATTAAGAGATAGTAATAAGAAAACACTTACTATGCATCAGACGCTGTTCTAAATACCTCTCATGCAGTAACACATACGACACAACTTTTTAAGTCAAATGCTACTTCTATTACTCTTGGAGGGGAGATGAGAAATCAGGCTCAGAGATCAGAATGCAGAAACCAGTCTGAAAGCAGACGCTGGCTGTTCTCTTTACTACACGATGCACTTTGAGAGGCAAAAATACTAGCCTTACGACCATAACTGGGTATAAAAATACACTGCAAATATGTTTTTTTAAATAAATACTAAAATAGTAATAGAAAATAGTTCAAAATTAATATATCATAGAAACCACCAAATAATCCTCTAGTCATCTCTTGACCCTTTTGGCCTTTAAAACAATAAAGCACACTAAGACAAAATTAAATTTTTGTCAATTATTTTCTTTTAAATCTATAAGTGTACAAACTAGTTTCTAGGCTTTCTACCGTGTTGTTATTTCATATCCAAAATGTGCTAAATAGTCACGAACATTTAGTGTAGATAAAACCTATACACAATGAAGAAAAGCATCCTCAGAATTCAATAAATACAACCAAATGTAGAAGACTGCTTAATATACAAATCTGTATTCTTTTCTTTAAAGCTTGATACCTTGCCCAGCACTGAAGATATTGTCTAAATTAGCAAGTGCCGCATATTTGTCTGTAGTCTGTAGACCAGCTTTGTTCGCTGAAACTTTACTAACAGCTGAAGCTGTTTGATGACTCTGGGAAGTACTGAAGGTTCCAAAATCAGCACTGGAGGATTTGGGGAAGTTATCAAAATGAGCAAAATTAGCATTTACTGATCCAGCACTTCCACCTGTAATAGAATAGACAGAAAACTTGAAACTGCAAGACTTTTCCAATATCCTTTGATAGATTAAATGATCACTTCTTCTTAAATTAAGTTTCCTATAAGCAATCCTAAATTCTTAAAAGTAAAAACTGGCAAATGGCATTCAACTTGAATCATCTACACATGACTATTCACAATCTGCAAAACTAGATGTTCAAAGGTCCTGACAACCTATAGGGCAACAAGCTCCTATGTGTAATTATGTAATTACCTATCCCGGAATGAACAAAATAATTCACAGGAGAGTCTCCACGCTACCCAGTTTTATTGTACTTGAAGAGCTACTACTCAATTCCACATAATAATTTAATGTACCCACAACACTACAATGTCTTCGGTAAAATTATGCTAACATATATTTCAGGGAAAAAATAAGAGCACATAATATATAAATAATATAAATATTACATCAACTTTATCCTACTAAGATTTTTAAAAACTGTTCTATATTCTAGAATCTTCCCTAACATACTACCAAAACACTAAAAACCAGTATATATTCATTCTATGCTTCTGATGCTATACTTTTGATGTTTGTTCTTTATACCTAAATATTAGTTTCAACAATCAAGATAGTAGATATAGATACGTGTATATACAGTTATAGATTAAACTAAGAGCAACACACACTTAAATGTATTTCAGAAAAAGAAAGATTACACCTATTAAAAAAAAAAAACACTTTCCATCAATCAGTTTTTTATACATTCTAAAACAAATAGATGTCTTACAGAAATTAAACTCTATTTGTTTATGATTAAAACTAAATGTCTGTATTTAAAAGACTGTGATCTGTTACAAGGAACTGGTGAACAAAGCACATACTAAGTTTTGAAAATCTGTATGAAGAAAAGTTATTTCAAATTAATAAAAATTATTAAAGCAACTGTTCCTGTATATTATTGGGTTCTCCGAGTTTAGCAATAGTGAGGAGAGTAAAAGTGAGAACTTATGGAGAATTATCATGAAAAGATGATTAAAATTCTGTAACTGAAAAACCTATAAAATATACCATTAAACATACAAATTAGTAAAAGATGCCTACTTGACAACAGAACTTACTGTTGGAAGCCTGGAGAGGAAAAGCTGAAGTAAATTCACCAAAACTGCAGCTAGATGAAAGCATTCTAAATGCTGGACAGCCAGAAATTATGTAAATGATGAAATTTAAAGAAAAAAAAGAAAGTTGAAAGAAAAGGTTTTAAGACAATACAGAGTTAAAAGCTGAAAGAAAAGCAATCAGCCAAAGATCTAAACAAAGGTTCAATGAGTTTCTGAAAATAATACAGTTTATGGGTAAGTATTCAATGTTTAAAAACCAATTCCTGCACAGAAAACTATTTGAAGTTTATCAAAGTGATTATTAAAATAATCTACTCAACCAATTATTTTCTGAAGCTTGTTGCCCTGAAAATGACTTACATTTTTAGTTCTATGGAAATAATTAACTAGCTTCCTTTATTTAGAGCTTAAATTAAATCAAAACATATTTTGTGAACCTAAAAAACTATTACTACTTTAATGTCTCTGTAAGAAATTTAAGAAAGATTCATGTGCAGGAAAAGGAGAACAGACGTGAATTAGACAAAACACTAGTGTCCAGAAAAACAAATAAAGAAAAATATAAAGATTTCAGGTTTCCCCAGAGCTTCATAAAACAGAACTATTTTAAAACCAGATAATCACAAAATTTAAGTTTAGAATAATTTTCCAAAACATATCTACAGAGTTGTATTCTATTTTTTAAAGTAAACATTTAATCATAATGCTGGAGAGGCTCTACCTGTAGTTTGGGGCTGAAAAGAAGAGTGACTTGCTGTGGGGAAACCTCCAAAATTACTCGAACCACTAGACTGTCCAAATGCATCAAAGTTTGCAAAATCTGCATTTGCAGAATTCTGAGCTGTAAATGGTAAGGAATAATACATGTTAATGAATATGAAAATTATAAATGAAAAATATGATAAATGAGTTTAAGAATTTTAAGAAAGTTTCCATGTTTCATAACTTAAAGAAAATTCATTTAGAAATCAGATTTTAAGTTCTACAAATGTTTATTTCACCCAACTGAAAGCAATTCATCAAAGGGCATCCAGGACAATGATAAATTTGTACACAAATAGCCTTTGAGCGACATCAGGAATAGTACTATAAAGTGACTCTATTAAAGGAAACTCTGAATTAATAGCTCTAAATAACACAAGTTTCAGTAAAGCAGACAAGAGATGTGGGATACAGGATACATTTGGAAAATTGAGATTTAAAATGGTGATTCACCAGTTACATGAATCATATAAAAATGGCTTCATTACATTAAAAATTTTTGTTGTTTTTAAGCTTACAACTATGTTACATCATAGCATACTTTTAAAAAAAAGCAAGTATACAAAAGATGGACATGATCATCAAATAAACTGAAGAAACTCATATTTTATTAGGAGCCTGTCATTTTAAAACACACATTAACTTAAGAAACAATAAAAACTAGTAAAAATTATACCATAAATATATCTCAAACCTACTGAAAAAGACCAACTGGCATTTCCCAACTGGTAACCAATCTAAGAGCAAAGTCCTAGGCTTCTCTAAAGTTAAAATATGTAAGGCAAAGCAAAAGACTCTTCCAAAGGCCAAAACAGGTGCTGGATAAGATTTTTATAGAGGATAAGAATAAGAAGTGGTTCATATGCAGGAAAGTGAATGCTAAATGCCAAGAATGAAAAGGATGTCCAAAAGATGGAGAAAGGTTCTATGTCACCAACAAAGTGAGAGCCACTTTAAATTCCTTGGCAGGCAATTCTATTTTGAGGCAGTTTTTGTAAAACTACTACAAATGAGCATACAGCTAATTCTAATAGCGAAACAATGTATATTTTATAATAATGAAAAATTAGAAACTCAAATGGCCAGCAATTATGGACTACTTAATTAAGGAACATCACACGATGGAATATAATGTAGCTATTAAAAAAAAATCATGTAAAGAGTATTTAGCACTATACAAAAATACTTATAGCAAAGTAAACAAGATAAATAGGCTAGCAAATTGCAGATCATCTTCATGAGCTAATTTCGTTAAACATGATATCATGTGCACACAAAATCTGTGTTTTAGTTAAATGGAAGTAGTGAGATTTCAGGTGGGTGTCATGGCCTGAACCTGCCACGCTTTTTCAGTGAATCTGTACTCTACCTGGGCTTCCCTGGGGGCTGAGAGGCAACAAGCCAAGAGAAGTCACTAAGAAAACAAACCGTCTGCTAACAAAGTAAACCATTATTCTAGGGAGAAAATCAGTAAAACTTACAGCATCTCCTGTAATTGCTGTTTTTTTTTTTTTTAATCTAAATGGGTATGATAATGAGCAGGGGGAGATGCACATAAAGAAGATCTGACTCCCTTTTCCTACACATCTGTGCCACTTCTTTCTCTTCCAGCATCTTCCAACCTACCACTTCTGACAACTTTACAGGCTGAAACTTTACTTTCCTCAAAATACATGTAATAGAAGAAATACTAACAGATTAAAAAATGTTTTAATTAATTTCTTGAAAAATATTTTGAAACAAGTATCTATATTGGTTTAAATTATATACAAGGTTAAACACAGTTACTGACAAACTGCTGAGAACACCAGTAAGCAAGTACAGTTTAGTGAAAAGGGAATCTAAGATAAGAGTCAGACAACTCCATCTTAACATAAGAAACTGTAAACCCTTTGATTAGTCCCTCATTGTTCTGGCTCTACCAGTATTCTTACTAGCAATATGAGAAGATTCATTAGATGGTCTCTACTAGTAAAACCAACACTATGATTCTACAACTTATGAAAAAAATGGGAATGATTTCTCATCAGTTTTAAAATGCTAATCCAAAGAAAATTCTAAAAGACTAAGTTTATTAAGGCGAAAGCATAGAATATAACTGTAAACCAAACGAACAGAGAGCATGATATACGAAGTTCTCAAATTCAGAGTAGATTGTATTCCAAAAGGCAAGTTTCCAAGTTTCTGGAACACTGAGCTGTACGGCTGAAAACACCAAGTGAAATACACCTGTCCCTTACAGAGACAGGAACAGGTCCCTAAGCTAGTTTGCGGCTTATAACCTCAAATCTATATGCCTATGTAGTCTATAATAATACATACTGAACATTTAACTTATCTTAAGAACACCATATGGGGGAAACTTACATTTAACATGTTTTAAACATCAGGAAAAAAAATTAGTTCAATGCAATCCATTTTGTTAATCAAGTCTATTTTATCACATCTATAATTTTCCCATTGTTTTCCAACCAGAGCACCAAACTAATCAAATACCTATTCATTACAACAAAACAGGATTTTGTATACTTCTATCAGTTCTTATTTGTAGATACTGAATCTACTCACTGTTTTTAACAACTTTTTACAGTAACTTTTAAAATTTATAAGTGTTATGGAATGAAACTCTGATAAAACACAACTTCGAAATTAAACACTAATAACACAATAAACAAAAACTATCTAGAACCTCAAATAACTTCTACACAAAGAAATCCAGACTAAAAAGAATGTGACAAAACAGTAAAGATACTTTTTATATAATCTTATTCAAAAAAGTACAAAAGAGTCAAGTCAGTACTCTTTTGTACTGAGTACAAAATTCTAAAGTACTCAGTACCTTAGAATTTAAGGTACTAAGTCAATGAGCCTGAATCTTGCTGAGAGCTGTCTTTATACTTCAGTGAGCAATAGATACTCATGTAAAAGTGAAAAAAAAATAAAAATGTAGAGACCAGAGGATAGCAGCCAACAACTCTCATCAAAATCTGATAACAGACTTCATTCCATCTATACAATATTTTAGATTATTTTCATCAATTCCTAACATTTAAAGAGAGCATTTCAACAAGATTTCTTGCTTCTCTTAAAAGAATCAATATACTAGGAACCCCGAGCCCGCATTTCCATGTGGCAACAGGAGATTACAGAACATCCCCCTCTGAAAGGGACACTGTGGTCCCTTCCACAGTGCATTCATTACACTACTCATGTGTTAACTGGGTGGCAAGGCAATTGAGTTTGATATCCCTCGTATAAGATGTGACAGTAATCAATGACAGTTTACAGTTTCTGTGATATGTTTATTACCAGGCAAGATAACTATTACATTCCATAGTAAATTATGTTTCTAACTGCCATGTATATTTCTGTAGATGACTTTTCCTGAACATAATACTGACCCCATCATCGACACATATCCACACACACTAACTCAGCCAGAATGTTCAAATGAAGAAGGGTAAAGACTTCTGGTTTTTAAGCCATTAAATTGTCTGTAAAAGAACAGGTTTTCCTATAAAATAATGCTAGCCAGATTGGCTTATCTGAATAATTACTGTTTGCCATTAAAGGTTCCATTTGTCACATCAATCTGTTCAGGAGAAAGTTTTCACCAAATTATTATTTTTTTTTGAAATGAGAATTTCAGGGCAAGAATTCAGCTATCAATGATTTTAAATCTGCAAACCATGTATGAAAAAGTAACAATTCAGAGTGCTTACAAAGGTTCTGGGAAAAGATATTTCAGATTGAACCAAGACATTGGCTTACACTTAAAAACTACGTAAGGTAAAAATAAAAGATGGCATCAACTATACTAGAAGGGAAAATAAATAAGTAACTTTATTAGCTTTTTCTTGCAATATGCATATATATTTCTTATGCTCCTGGAATCAAATGAGGTAAGAAAAGAGTAATCTGAGTGGTCCTTTGTAAAAACAAAAGAACTTTAGGTTAAAAAATTATTACTCTCAGGCAACCTGACCTAATCTACATGGTTATTAAACTACTTCCTCACAGACATATCTGTCCTCTACTATATTTCTGTCATATGTGGAAAAGAGGCAAACAATATTTGATATCTTCAATCTGATAAAATCATACATTGCTATTTTTTAACATTTATATGTTACTAATAAATAATGACAATTATTTTCAAAAAGCATTTTAAGGGAGTTATTGAAAATATAAGGGTAATCATGGTACAAATTAGTCTGTGGAGTACACTGACTTGTCTATTTTTTTTGCTAATACGGCTACATAGAAAAGTGTAACATTAATCCCCTGACCTGCAAATATTCACAAATTGCATTCAGAGACTACACACACACACACACACAAAACATGAAATAAGCTGAAAATTTATAAGAGTTTGGCAGCCACTTTTCTATCATTTCAAATTATATTTCAATAAGCCTAAAATTGAGATAAGTAGAATAGTCATAAATTACAGAAGCTTCACTCTCGATTCATTGATTCTTCCACCAACTGTTTTGACCATCATTCAAAAAGCAAGAGGTGAGAACAGAGAGCTGGAGCTCCTGTCTGCTCAGAGAAGGAACAACTGGCTTCCCGCCTGGAGGATGAAGGGGAAAGATTCTTTTCAGTCTCCTTCTGGACTTCTGCTACTTGGCTAATATAAGATATGGAAAACCTACCGCAGTCCCAACAACTTAAGCTTCCTGCTTTCTTACCCTTTTCAGTATAATCTCTCTTGAAAGAAATCTTCATCCTAGGATCTCTTTTTAAAGTAAACACATACAGACACAAACATACATAAATCACACCACAACTTCCTTCTGTAGCATAGTCTTAGAAAATGTTTTTATTGATATTTAAAACAAAAATTCCTTTAATGTTTGACAGAAATGTGGCTGAAGGTTTTCTATAATTTTCCAAATTATCTCAAACAGCATATTTTTTGATACATATACATGAAATAATTTGTACCATTATTATCCAACTATAAGCCAGGACAAGAAACTGAAAGGAAAAAAAGGGCAGAGAGCATCACAAGTTCACAGATGAGTAAAAGAAGGTAAAGTAAGGCCCAAAATACAAACAGGAAACCAATTCAGTAAGTACTGGCTTCTGTCATAATTTATAAAACAGTGAAATACACACACGCAAAAATATAAAGAAAAAAAGTCTTCTTTTTCTAAAGAAAAGTCTCAAATTATCAAATAAAACTGCTTCAAAATGACCAAGTGAATTCTTAATTTAGTACTCCACATTTAATTTGATGATTATTCAAACACTGGCAAAAGCTGCTAGGAAAAAACACTTACCTGCGTGACTGTTGAAATGTGCAAAGTTAGCAAAATTGGCTGTAGCTGTTGACTGAGGTGCTGGAGCAGCAAAGATGTCTGAGCCAAGATCACTTAAAAGGTCAAACTGCTTCTTTTCCTGCTGCTGCCCTTGGGAGCGACCTACAACAGGGGACTATAAACCACATATTAACTACAAAGAGCTTCCAGTTAGATTTGCTAAACTTTTATAAAACTATCTCCAATTCACCAAGCTTAAAACACTTCGCTCAGTCGTGTCCGAATCTTTGCGACCCCGTGGACTGTAGCCTACCAGGTTCCTTCGTCCATGGGATTCTCCAGGCAAGAGTACTGGAGTGGGTTGCCATTTCCTTCTCCAGGGGGTCTTCCCAACCCAGGGATCAAAGCCGGGTCTGCCACACTGCAGGCAGACCCTTTTGCCATCTGAGCCATGCTTTCTGAAAAGCACAAATTTTCAACATCTATGTCCATAATTATCTTTTAAGTGCAGAGTCAAAAGCAATGAAGTATAATTACAGCAGGTGTCGTTGTTACACCTCATGACACAAAGCAGACTTACTGCTAACAGAGTATGATGGTGAGGTTTCCACAGGACAAATCTTTTATCCAAGGGAGGAGTTATAATATACTGACTTCACCCTTCTCTTCATTTTTCACTCAAAGCTTTGGTGAAAATGGAGCGATTTATCTAGCTGCCCTAGTATATGCATATTTTAAAAGGGTGGAATTTAATTCAAATAATAACATGCTTTAGAATCATTCTTATGTAAGACAGACATAATGCCACACAGTAACAGATTTGTCATAACTCGTCTGACTGTCATGAAGTAAAGAAGCACAAGCTCTAGATACCAACTGCTGAAAAGACTTCAGTCTACTCAGTTTTTTAGAATAAGTTATGTAATGCAAAGCTACCTGCGTTTCAATGATAAACATGCTTCACCATCAGGATGGGGAAAAAATTCTGTGCTTGAGAAATCCTTTCCTGTAAAAGTATATCACAAAGCCTATACTGTTCTCAATAACTCTGATGGTCACCACAGATTCATGTTTCACCACTATATGTTACATCTATGACAACGCTCCTGTACACCTTTACAAACTCATATTCGCGACAGCAAAACCCACAAAAAAAAGACACACTCCAACCACTTAACCAAGTATCTTTTAATGTATTATAAACCATTAGGACATAATGGTACTGGTATACAAGCAGCATTATGCAACTGTCTTAATTCCCAAATTCATTGTACTCAATCCTCCTTACACAGAAGCTTCTACAAAGACCTAAAAGTGACTCACCTGACTAGGTGTGCCCTTATTTAAGTGCAGTGCTGGTGCTGAATCTCCTAAAAGAGATTTCAGTGGTTTGACCTCAGGTGTGCTGCTCGTACTACTGGCAGAGGACCCTGAAATAGATGCATGGACTGACGCCACCACTTTGGCTTGTTCTGGTGGGACATACCTAAAACATATGAAAAGTTGAAGAGGCAGTTAACTAAGGAAGTGGTAGGGAATACTAAGCTCAAAAAGCTTCACTCTATAATTCTGGACAAGACTGCTTCGATATTAATCTTATTTCAAAACCCTCTAAGAATTGACACCATAAGAGTACACTTAATTAAAATATTCACAGAAAAGGTAATAAAAGAGCAACCACAAAACTTGCTTCAACTATTTACTTACAGTTTTTCTAAGATAACATTAACTGCTTTTTTTAAAAAAGAAGACTTATAATTCAGCATGATGATAGTTAATAATTCTAATTTTTAAAAACCAAAGTACTGTAAGGTCATAAATAACATTGGAAAACTGAGCAAAGGAAAAAAAAATATTTATTATGTTACAATTAATAGCTCAAAATATAAAGGTCTATTATAAATCTATAAGAACAAGATTAACTACTCGATTTTTAAATGGACAGAAGCAATTCACCAAGAGAGACACAGAAATGAAAACATTTTTAACTTAACAAAAAATGTAAATTAAAATGACACACATTTGGTCTGAGTATAAACTTTATAAATTTTGTTACTCTCTAATAAAATACTCTGTGCCCCAGAAGTACCATTTCCAGTAACCTATCCTTAGGCAATAATTGGGTTAAGTGTAAATAAACATATGTTACCACAGCACTCATTAAAATTTCAAAAAAAAGGGCAATAAACCAAAATTCACCAGGATAAAAATGCTTAAAAGGGTTATGCTAGTATCTATATAAAACACAGCTGCTCTGTCTTGACATGGAAAGATGTCCATAAGACTTCACGGGTCTTTCAGATTTTACTCCAATCATGTAAGGACTCACGGGGTGAAAGGAATAAAGGAAAGAGAGGGGGAAGTGAGAACACAATGCCCACATACTGGCAGTGCTATCTCCAGGGCTGGCATTCTGTGAGACCTCCTGCTCACAGAATTTCTGGCTTTGGTTCTATCTAGCCTCCTTCCCCATGTAACACAGGTGGGAGAAGCAGAAAAGCAGAGTTCTTCTACTGTGCTCCACATGTGTGTGCATGTGTGCTCAGGTGTGTCTGACTCTCTGCGACCCCATGGACTGTATGTAACCCGCCAGGGTCCTCTGTCTGTGCTCCAGAATCAGAGTTCAAATCCTAGCTCCATCACTCAACAGATGTGAAACCCAGGGCAGACAACTTTAGCACTCGGTGCCTCCCAATTTTCTTCTAAAACACTGAAATATGGTTACTATGAGGTATGAACAAATTAACATTTACAAAGTACCTATACACTGTTCTGGTACACAAGTATTGGCTATTATCAAATTATATAATAATCACAAACAATAAAACTTTTGTTTTTTTCAGTATATGAAAGAGATGAAAACAGGAAGTTACATTTTCCCATAGTTTGGCTTACCAGTGGGGATGCCAATTTCTGAGAATAGCCAAGCCTTTTTAAAGCATAAAATCAGGTAAGAATCTTTGGCTCAAAGGCTTGTGGAGCTACAAGTAAAAAAGCTAACTAAGCATGTACAGCATAGGAAGTGAGTTCGAAAACTGGTTAAAAGAACAATTTCAAAAACCCTTTAGATGACAGCACCAGCCTCAATGTCTTAAGTGTAGCTGCCCACAGTGAGGGTTTTTAGGGAGATTGCATTTGGATAACACGTATGTCGCAGGGAAGGAAATGGGAACCCACTCCAATGTTCTTGCCTGGAAAATACCATGGAGCCTAGCAGGCTCCTCCGTCTAAGGGGTCGCAAAGAGTCGGACACGACTGATTGACCTTTCACCTATGTCGCGTTACGAACCCATTGCACCACCCCCTAGGCACATGTCACAGGTGTGTAGGAGCGTAAGTTTAAAATGGAAAGGTCCGAGCCCACCTGAGTGCTAGTCATTCCCTCTCCCCTACCAACCAACTGAAGTTTGTATTTGTCTTACTCTTATTACTATTCTGTTTCTCAGGACAGAAAAGATAACACAAATTGTAATTTTTTGAGGTTTACAATTATTTGGTTATGGTTTGAATGAATAATTTTTATTATTTTATTTTGTGGCTATTATCACTAATGCAGGGAGAGGGGACTTCTGGTTTTAATTCTATCAACTCTTATTCACACACACTTTCCTCTTATCAGCTGAAGCTAAAGCATTTGAAAACCCAGCTAAGTTATATTCAAACTAACTGTGAGCTGGTAAAAGTGAAACTTGGGAAAATGAAAAATTAGGCCAAGGCTATCAAGGAGAAAGGTCTTAACTACAGGATAAAAGGTCTGGGAAATTCAGAACTAAAATGATAAAAAGATAATTATATATTTCATTTTAAGAGAATAATTTATGGCACCATGTTTTTACTATCACCTCATCTTCTAAGTTTTGTTTTTTTCTTTCCTGAACTAAAATCTTGCTGTTATTTTTTCTTCTATATTCATACATAATGTTTCTAGTAATGCTGAATATGGCCCTGGCAAAAATTAGTCTCCTCTAGAGAACAGTAAGAATACAAAGTTCACAGAACATACAAATCAGAATCACTTCTTTCTACTATGCTCACCCAACAGAGGTGGAGATATCTCACTCATAACCACAGCAAGTATTCCCTCAACTAGAACTGTTTTTTGAAGATATTCTCTGGGTTAAAATACAGTTCCTCTGGCAAACAAGAGGCCATTTACTTCTTCATTATCCTTCTATTTATGATTCTCTCTCATCTTTTTAACCTCTCAAGAAGGAAAATACACACTACTGAAACTAAAATACACACACTAAAGAAATAACCAAGAATTCATCACGAATGAGTCTTAGTAAGCTGACTTAAATTGTTCTCATACAGCTAAAAATGAAGAGCTCAAAGTAGCTGAACACTAGTTCTACGAATATACCCTTGCTCTGCTTTAAAACACTTCACTAGCCACATGTACATCTGTTTTAACTACTTTTCAAAAATTAACATCTGACGGATTTAGTTTAAAAAGTATAAACACTTCCTTCTTAACAAGGTAGAAAAATGACTTCATGGGTGGGTAGTGAGGGGTATTTTGAGCAAAGAATTACTGCAAACTGCAATTAAGTGAATAGATTGCTTCATGAGTGCTTTAGCGCAATGCTTACTATATAAAAGAAACTAAAGAAACACTTGCTAAACGAAGGAAGATTTTTAAGAAAGGAGGTTTTACATGACTACGTCTAGAGAAGCTAACAGGGATAGTAAAGGTTTTGAAGGAAGAATCCCCGATTTCCCAAAAAAGGGTAAGAGGCCTGGTGGTGACAAAAAGCCTACTGCCAGGCACAGATGAGTTAGGATAAAGCAGAAGTAAAGGTTTTTGGAAATCAAATCCAATAAAAGCCAAAGTATAATGAGTATCTACCTATTTCCTTATTTCCTGTCTACCTACTTATTTCCTTTCTTCCTGTTATACTAATATTACCCATAATTAATGCAATCTGGGGAGCCTTTGCTCTAAATAGAAACTATTCACTCACCATCTTTTCTTTTCATATTTTTCTTGTAGGAACTCTTTCACTTTTTGTGGATCCCTGAAGTCTGGAATTGCTGAAGATCTATCATCAAATAATCCTAGCCAAATCTGTTTACAGACCTTTGGAAAGAATTACAAAAACAAAAGTGTTAAATTCAACATCTTAATGAAATTTTAAGAGATAATTAAGATTCATTCAGAAAACTAACCTACTTTAGTTTTAATAATATTGCTTTCAATAGGATATTAATCACAATAAGCAATGGAGAAGCAACAAATGAAGGAACTAAATTTATTTTAATGCTATAGCATGCAGTAAAGTCTTATCAACAGCATCACAAAGACAGCTCCTCAAAGGGAAATAAATAGTGAAATGGGATCTAAGAGGACCTCAGACTGTTTGATCTTAGAATAATCATAAACTGTAAACCATTAGCCAAGTCATGTAACCTTTATGAACCTCAGGTCCTTCACCCCATAAAACAAAGGAATTTGATCAGCAATCTCTTAAATCCTTGACAGGTTTAAAAATCAGCCAAAAAGAACAAATAATACTAGAATCATACACAACTTGCTTTTAAAGTATAATATAAGAAAAATACAAGGCAGCTATGACTCTAGCTTTATAACTGCCTCCTATACTTTTTTCCCCCTAATGGCAAAAAAATGAGTCTAAGATTATCTAACTTTTTAGCAAAAATCAAAGAAACAAAATGATGCAGTACTCAAATAGGAGACAAAGTACAAAGAGAACTGTACAGAAAAAGTTGATAAGGTGTGTTTCATCAAAATTTAAAACTATTGCTCTTCAGCCACCAACTGATGAAAGGAAGTTACAGAATGTTAAAGAGTGGACAGAAAATTTGAACAGACACTTCATCAAAGATATACAGATGGCAAGTAAGCAGCCCAAGATCACAGGCCATGTAGAAAATACAAATTAAAGCAACACTGAGCCCCAATACACAGTCACGCATACAAACCACCAGAATGGCCAAACAAAAAGACTAAAGCAAGACAAAGCGAGGCTTTTTTCATGAACTGTATCAATCAGAAATGTAATGGAACATAAGTTCCTGTGTTCGATCCCCAGGACCGGCACCAAAAAAAAAAAGTAATGCAGAAAATGCCTTATGAAGCTTCCCCTAGAAGAATTTTCCTTTTCTCCTCTACAGACCATTGTTTAACTCTCTTGTGCCATTAAGTTTTTGATACAGAAGAGTTATTTCTGGACGTTCTTATAAATAAGTGTATTATTATTGAAATAGTTGATGTTTTGACAAATATTTATTACAGTATCCAGAAATACCTACCTCAAGCTACACAGAATGCTTATTTCTGAAATAATAAAGGTTCTAGCCAAAAAAAAAAGACTGGCCATATCATACGCTGGTGAGAATGTGGAACAACTAGAACTCTCAAGAATGTTAAAATGGTACAATCAGTTTGGAAGATAGTCGGCAGTTTCTTAAAAGTTAAACATATACCTACCATACGAGCCAACCATCCCACTTCTAAGTAAGTACTTAACTCAAGAAACATAAAGGTACATTACATGTCCATGCCCAGATTTGTACACAAATGTTCACAGCAGCTTCATTAACTCCAAACAGAAAACAACCCAAATATCCATTAACAGGTAAGTGAATTAATAATTTTGAAATATTCAAGTTAGATACTATTTGGCAATAAAAATGAACAAATTATTGACACAAGAAACTACATGAATAAACCCTGTTATGCTAATTGAGAGACATCAGAACCCCCCCCAAAAGTATACATAGTCAGTATGTATACATGCATAGTATACATATTATGTAATTCCATTCATTTAAAATTTGAGGAAATGTAAACTTATCTATGGTGACGGAATGCAGATCAGGGGATGCACTACAAAGGAGCACAACAATATTCTTGGAGATGATGAAAATGTATGTTATCATGTTACTATAATGATGGTTCACATATGTCAAAGCTCATTAAATTGTAATTTTAAATATATACAATTTATTATAATTACCTATTCCTCAGTAAAGCTCTAAAAAACAAGTCCACAAGTTTCCAAAATTATATTACTTTAAAGAACAACACTATGAAAAGAACACAGTATATAACTTCCAAAGCTTGACAAAAATTTGAGAAATCAGAGATGGAAAAGCAGCATCCTTCTCAGGCTTACCTGCCTGCTCACTGAAGTAGATGCAGCAGAAATAAAGACAGGAAAAAAGGAGTCACCCTTCTCCTCTCCTACCATGTACCCAAAGCAAGTTTCAGAACAGCATTTCTTGTGGTTCCTTACTACTCTGGGCTCAATACAAATACTATAAAGTCATTAAGGCAGTACAATAAACACAAGTACAGCCTTATTATAAAAACATTTCAGTGGAAAAGCCCAAGTACAAACACCCAGGAGTGGTAATGCAACTTACACCACAAATACTATATAAACCCTATTAGAGGACCAGCTTCTCTAATAAATACTTAGGTACTTTAAAAAAAAACAAAAAAAAAAACCATGATCCAAAAGGGTACCTGCACCCCAGTGTTCACTGCAGCACTGTTTACAACAGCGAAGACAGGGAGACAACCTGAATGTCCATCAACAGAGCAACGGATGAAGAGGCGGCGCACAGGTATAAATGGGACACTGCTCGGCCACAGAAAGAATGACACAGTGCCATCTGCAGCAGTATCAACGGACAGAGAAATTATCATACCAAGTGAGGTAAGTCAGAGAAAGACAAGTATCATATGATATCACTCATGTAGAATCTAATTTTTTTAAAAAGATATAAATGAACTTATTCACAAAACAGAAAAAGACCTACAGACATTGAAAACAAATGTATGGTTACCAAAGGGAAAATTGGAGGGGAAGGGGGAAAAAATCAGGAGCTTGGGATGAAGACACACACACTACTATACACACGATAACCAACAAGGATCTACTGTATATAGCACAGGGAACTCTACTCAATATTCTGTGACAACCTACGTGAGGAAAGAATCTAAGAAAAGAAAAATAAGTGTGTACAGAACTGAATCACTGTACTGTAGACATGAAACTAACACAATGTCAAGTATACACCAAAAAAATTAATATCTTTTTAAAAAGTCCATGAGACTCTTCTCAACCAGAAACCTATAATGACTCTCCCAAAATGTAATTTTAAAAGATTCTATGGCTTTAAAATTACATTCATAAAGAAATAACTGGTAGCTCCTAATTCTTTTATTTAAAAAATTTCCAAGTGGGAAAACAAGACATTTGCTCAAAGACTTATTAAACTGTAATTGAAAGCATCAGCTTAGGATAATTTATGACATTTAGTCTTTGTATTCCAAAACCCTGTTAACTAATGTATACAGTTTTTTAAACTAAAAACAATTAATGAATAGCAAATAATAAAAATACAAACAAAAAAGAGATGGGTTAAAGATAGATCATACAGTTACTGCCTTGGCACTCATCATGGTAATACACAGCAAAGACGGCGTGCTTGATGACAAGTTCTATAGACACCTGAATTAGAGGCCTGTCACTTAGGGCTTCCCAGGTGGCAACCGTGGTAGAAGCAGCCTGCCAATGCAGGAGACATAAGAGATACGAGGTTTGATCCCTGGGTCAGGAAGATCCCCTGAAGGAGGGTATGGCAACCCACTCCAGTATTCCTGCCTGGGGAAACCCATGGACAGAGGAGCCTGGCAGGCTGCAGTCCATAGGGTCACAAAGAGTCGGACACGACTTAAGTGACTTAGTATGCATGCCCAAGTCACTCAAAACTTCACACTTAACTGCTGCAGGGTCTGTTCTTTCTCCCTGACAGGTCAAACTGTTAGGGAAAATCATGAAAACTCACTGTCTCGGTCCACCACAAACTCATGCTATCTTACTACCAAAGTTCCATGATGTTGTGTGTAATCGCTCAGTCGTGTCTGACTCCTTGCAATTCTATGGACTGTACGTAGCCCGCCAGGTTCCTCCGTCCATGGGATTTTCCAGGCAAGAAAACTGGAGTGGGCTGCCATTTCCTTTTCCAGGGGATCTTCTGGATCCAGAGAATGAACCTGGCCTCCCGCACTGCAGGCAGACTCTTAACCGGCAAGCCACCAGGGAAGCCCTGACACTGACAACGCTGTGAGCTCATTTCTGACTCTGCTACTCTGCAAAGGCTCTTTCCTGCACTGCTCCAAATCCTAGCTACACCTGCCACTCTTGGTAGTTGATTTCTTATTCAATTGAAGTGACTCTCAATATGGGATTCCCCAATCTCTTGGACTGGCAGCATCAGCATCACCTACAAACTTGTAAATGCAAATTTTTAGGAGCCACGCAAGACCTGTGCCATCAGAACCTCTGGAGGTGGTATGCAGCAATCTGTGCCTTAGCAAGCCCTTCCAGTGACTGTGAAATAGGCCAAAGTTTGAAAACCAACTCTTCAGTAAAATCTAGGCCAGCAGATGGGAACTTTCTTCCATACGAATACTATATATAGTTTTCAGCATTTCTCAAATTTACTTAGCCATTAAATCTCTTCTTGGGCAAGATTCATGAAACAAACACAGTATTCCAGAGATACAACTGGGAAAATGTCACAGTCCTATCTCCTTTTGATCCATTCACATTTTAATCCCTGAAAAAGCAGCTTCTGCTCCTATCATTCTCCTGGAAACTGTGATTTCAGATTTGTAGATCTTCTGATAGAAACACACAAAGTTCTCTTTTCTCCATGTTTGTTTTGGCTTTTTTTTTTTTTTTTTTGAGTAAAATAATAAACACCATCAACTGAAAAGAGAGGGTTTCTGAGTTGAAGGAAAAATGAGAGCGTGCATAAACTAAAACTACAGGCAGCACTAAGGTTTTAAGGTACGGGTATTTAAAGTGAAATTAGTCAAAACAGTTGTGTTTTCCTCCAGTCTCATTTGGCTGTTTAGGTACAAAGTAGGTAGAATGCTGGCTTTAATCAGGTAAAATACAACAGGTGTTAAGTAAGTGGTTATAACAATAGACCTATAGACCATGAAATCAAAGCTAGGTTAAGAAAAATGGAAACATGGTAAGAATGACACACAACGAAGAAATTTACCATCAGTGGACTGGAGGTCTTAATGGTTATCCC